GGGGGGTCGAACGGAGGGGGGGGTCGAGCTCAAGCGGGGGGTGGGGGGGTTCAGCGCGGAGGGGAGGGGGGTCCAAGAATCGAGGGGGGGGAGCTCGAGCGAGGACGGAGGGGGGGGTCGAGCTCAAGCGGGGGGGGGTCCAAGGAGGAAGCTCGAGCGGGGACGGAGGGGGGGATCGAGCTCAAGCGGGGGGGGGGGTCAGTGGCGGGGGGGGGGTCCAAGATCGAGGGGGAGGGGGGGAGCTCCGAGCGAGGACGGGGGGGGTTCGAACGGAGGGGGGGGGGCCCCGAGCTCAAGGGGATAGGGGGGGGTCAGCGCGGGGGGGGGTCCAAGAATCGAGGGAGGGGGGGGCTCGAGCGAGGACGGGGGGGGGTCGAGCTCAAGCGGGGGGGGTCCAAGGAGGATTCTCGAGCGGGGACGGGGGGGGGGGGTCGGCTTCAAGTGGGGGGGGGGGGGTCCAAGAAACCGGGGAGGGCAGCGGGGGGAGGAGGGACGTCGTCGTCGTCATCGTCCGTCGTTGACCTGGTCGTCGGTCGTCGGTCGTCGTCGTCGTCGTCGTCATCGTCCGTTCCCACACGCATCGGGAGCGCCCCGGATCGGCGGCACTGGCCGGAGGCCATTACAGTAAGGAGCGATGTCCCTCATCTCCATAAGTTAAGCTTTGACCTCCGATCGAAAACCTCAGGCAAACTGCGAAACAATGAAAGAACACGTAGCCCGTCCCCAACGAAAGGGTTCCTTCTTCAGCGCCCCGACTGCGCAGCCAACGCGTATCTTAAAGGGGCCCGGGGACACACACACATCAATAGACTCAAGCCCCAGGATTCTCCATCATGCTTTCCCCTCATCCTAAGTGGGGTTATTGTTTTCTCTGCGCACCCTCCGCGCAGGATCTCTCTTCGTCCTCCTCCTCCCTCTCCTCTCATCCTCATCCTTTCTTCCTCCTCCTCCTCATCATCGTCATCACCACCATCACTTCCCACTCATCATCATCATCATCATCATCATCATCATCATCATCATCATCATCATCATCATCATCATCATCATCATCATCATCATCATCAGCATCACCATAAGCATCGCACGATCACTCATCATCATCAGCATCGCACGATCACCATCATCATCATCATCATCATCATCATCATCATCATCATCATCATCATCATCATCATCATCATCATCATCATCGCCATCACCATCAGCATCATCATCATCATCATCAGCATCGTCATCATCACTACACGCTCACTCATCACTTCGTCATCATCATCCTCACCAGCGGGCGCCCCCTCCCTATGGGTCCCGCACTTCATGCTGGTAATCCGAACGGGTCATCGGCAACCTGTAACTGTCGCCACTTTTGGGCTCTTCAGGCCTGAATTTGGAGAAGTATCAAGCGGAAGCCTCGTCTGTGAGTGAATTGTGAGGAAATCTCAGGCGGGAGCCCCCTCACTATGGGTCCCGCGCATAATGTTGGCAATCCGAGCGGGCCATCGGCAACTTATAACTGTCGTCACTTTTGAGAGCTCCCAAGCCTGAATTTGGAGGAAGTATCAAGCGGGAACCTCGTCTGTGAGCGAGTGGTGAGGAAGTCTCAGGCGGGAACCCCCTCCCTGTGGGTCCCGCCCGCACCTCATGTTGGTAATCCGGGCGGGTCATCGGCAACCTGTAACTGTCGCCACTTTTGGGCTCCCCAAACCTGAATTTGGAGGGGGTATCAATCGGAAACCTCGTATGTGAGTGGATTGTCAAGAGATCTCAAGCGGGAGCCCCGATCTTATGGGTCCCGCACTTCATGTTGGTAATCCGAGCGGGACATCAGCAACCTGTAAATGTCGCCACTTTTGGGCTCCTCAGGCTTGAACTTGGAGGAAGTATCAAGCGTGAGCCTTGTCACTCAATGAATTGTGAGGAAGTCTCAAGCGGGACCCCCTCCCTAAAGATCCCGGGTTTCATGTTGGTAATCCGAGCGGGCCATCGGCAACATGTACCTGTGGCCACTCTTGGGCTATGCAGGGTTGAATGTGGAGGAAGTATCAAGCGGGAACCTCATATGTGAGCGAATTGCTAAACAATCTCAGGCGGGAGCCCTCTCCCTATGGGTCCCGCGCGAGCGGGTCATCGGCAACCCTTAACTGTCGTCACTTTTGGGCTCCCCAGGCTTGACTTTGGAGGAAGTATCAAGCGGGAGCCTCGTCTGCGAGTGAATCGTGAGGAATCTCAGGCGGGATCCCCCTCTCTATGGGCCCCGCATTTCACGTCGGCAATCCGAGCGGGTCATCGGCAACCTGTAATTACGTCGACGGAAGGACCCCACACGAGAATCTGTTTAGCTTGCCCTTACCCGTTTCCTCCTCGCCCTGACGGACACTCTCCTCTCGCCCGCCGTTCTGCCCTCACCTACCCCCTCCTTTTATGTTTCCTCCTCCTCCTCCTCCTCCTCCTCCTCCTCCTCCTCCTCCCCCTCCTCCTCCTACTCCCCCTACTCCTCCTCCTCTGCCACTTGCGAGCAAGAGTTCACGTGGCAGGGCTCGTGGTCGCACGCCGTGCGCCGCTCGGGGCTCACTCTGACTCACGCGTCCTACCGCACTTCCACGCTGTCGCAGGGCCAGACGCTCCGCAAGGGCGTCGCCATCGACTGCGCGAGGGGCGAGGACGCTGGCCGCACGGGCATGTCGGACGACCACTGGCGCCTGCACTTCTACGTCATGCTCTCCCGCGCCACGCGCATGCGGAACATGCTGATCCTGCGGCCGCCTTCGCGCGAGTTTCTGGAGCGCGGGCAGCCGGTTTCCTTGCGGAAGGCGTTCCTGGAGTTCGACAAGAGAACGAAGACGTCCAGGGATGAGGCCGAGCAGCTCGCCGCAGAGCTTGGGTTCATGCCGCATCCCGCCTGAGCGCGGCTGCGCCCCGCTCGAAGCCCGCGGGGTTGTCCCAACGGCTTGGCCCGCGGGGCTGTCCCGACCGCTTGCCCCCGCGCCCCAGCGGCCCGCGGGGTTGTCCCAGAGGCTTCGCGAACCAGCCGTCGGGGAATGCGCGCGCTCTGGCCGCGGCGGCGACGGCGCCGAGGAAAATCGATGTGCTTGCCCCGGCCAGGGGGGAGGGGAGGAGCGTGCGGAGAAAAAACAGGGGAAGGACGAGGACGGGGAAGGGGTAGGGAGGGGTGATGAGGAGGAGGAAGTGGAGAAGGAGGAGGAGGAGGAGGAGAAATAGAAGGGGGGCGAGTAGGTGAGGGCAGAACGGCGGGCGAGAGGAGGCTGTCCGTCAGAGCGAGGAGGAAAAGGGTAAGGGCAAGCTAAACAGATTCTCATGTGGGGTCCTTCCGTCGGAGTAATTATTTGTTCTGGGTTTTCGTCATCCCCCCCGCTTCCCGTGTGTTCCCATGACCCTGGGAGGCGACGATGGATTGTGTCTGTGTGCGTTTTCTCTCCTGCATTGCATAAAGTCGCACGATGAGGATACAAGAGCCTTGGAAGGCTATGTCGACACTCTGCGAGCGGGGCGCGGCCAGCGAATGCGGCCAGAGATGGGTCGAATAGGGTGGATGCAAGGGTAACCTTGGAAAGTCGCTCACCCTTACTGTGAGGGTTGACTGTGTTGCCAGAGGTGCCCTGGCCCGAGGTGCCCCGAGGATTTCCTGAGAGGCCAGGGCGGTCTCGAGAGCGCCCCTCACGAGGCCCCGAGGGCCTCAGGGGGCTCCGAAGTGGTGCGAAACGCTGGGACACAAAGAAACTGGAGCATCTATCTCTGGCAAACTCCGACTTCCAGGGGCGGCGAAAAGGTAGGATACCAAAGGATTGCAGATAATCAGCTCACCTGGCTGGTATTCCTGGCGCCTGCTGGCGCCAGGAGGCGCCCATGTATCGAGGACTGGGTCTAGCGGCGGGGCCGAAACAAGCTGCATGCAGCAAATGTCTTAACCACCCTTTTCCTTATCCTACCCTTTCGTCCGGCCCGAGACTTGACCAGATGAAGCGGGAAGTGGATGAGATTCAGTTTATGGCTAGGTGGTTGCAGGTCCGCTTCAGGACGGGCGGGATGGCAAAGACAGCAGCAGCAGCAATTGCAGCAATTCGGCCGCCTGCCTCAGAGGTCTGTCAGAGGATTGTGCATGCAGCAGCTCGTACATCCCAGCGCAGAGACTGGGTATAAAGTCATTGTCTAAGGGGAAGGGCCTGGCGCGACAAGGATTGTGTGGCTTGGGGTGGGTGGGTTGGGCGAGTGGCGCACGCCTGTGCGGCCGGATGCATGATGCTATGCCCCTGTGGTTCGTTTCCGCACGACGCATGTTGGTGTCTCACCTGCCTCTACCCAAGAGTTCGCAAACCCTAACGCCGTTCAACCTCGTGCCGTATGGGCCACTGATTCCTGACTGGTTCCTCTGACTATACTTGCGCGCTCTCCTTGCGGAATTGCAAGGGCGAGATACCCCAATCTTCCGCAGGCCTCATGAGCACGTGGCCTTTGCTCTTCATCCTGTCCTCCTCTCCCTGGCGCGGGAGTGATCACTCGAACCATGTGGTCAAGCTTGACGAACCAGCAGAACTATCACCGCATTACATGGAACAGCACGCCTTATTCCCGCATTCTCCGTAGCTCCAAGCGAGGTGCGGCAAGTGGCCTCCGCCTCTGCTTCACAGAATGAGGCCCTCCGCACTCCATCACCTCCTTGGCACGAGAAGGCTGTGCTTGTTGTGTGCAACCGATCGGTTTTCGCCAAAAGTCCATCAACTCCACCCTCCGCAGGCGTGCCCGTGGGCATGTGTCACTATATGTATGCGCGTGCGTGCCTGCATCGCTCGCTCCCGAGGATCTACGCACTGCTCGTGAATTACGCCTGAGTGAGCCTGCGTCGTCTCCGCGCAAGCACCCTCTCACAACGCACGCACACGCACACACACAAGCCCCGAGAGCCCTAAAGCGGCGAGAAACCTCAGGACCCATTTCCCTCTGGACCCAATTCCCCGCTGGCGAAAGATACACACACACATACTTTTCCTCCGCCGGCCAGGCGACGTTACCGTCGCGAGTGTTAGCAGGGGACGCGAGCTAATGAAAACGTGGAACCAGGACGGATGGCAAGGACGCAAGACCCTTGGAGGCCGAAGTAGGGATTTTTGTTCTGCGCAGAAGACAGGCCGCAAAGGCAACCCTGGAAAAGGCGCGCGTCCTTTGCGCGTTGACTGTGCTGCATGAGCTGCGCCAGGCGTGGCAGGCGGTGAGGACAGCGCAAGTTAAAGGTCGGCGTGCAGGGGAAAAGGCGCCCAAACCCCAGTGGGAGCGGGCAGGCGATGCCTGACGCATCCAAGGGCGCACAGGGGGTGCTCAGGGAAGACGCGCGCGCACACACACGCACGTACTCCTCAAGGGGGCCCATCTTCTCCCGTATCTTCTGGGTTTCTGCCTATCCCCGCCATTTCCCATATCTTCCTGGGAATCGACGCTCAAGTGTGTCGGTGTGTTCTGAGCTCTCCGGGCGCACAAGGGCGGGGCACGAGCCGCTCGGCCGATGCACAAGCAGTCAGCTGACCGAGAGCTGAAGCAGCCATAGGTGAGGCTTCCAGGGGTCGACCCTGGAAAACCGGCAAGGCCGGGAGGGGGACGCGCCGGCCCCTTGCGGAGCCCTGCGGGGCGCGGCAGATGGCACACACAGAACCCACTCCCCACCCCGCACACCCACACACACGCGCACACTCGCACACGCACACACACACACACCCACACACACACACACGCGCACACACACGCGCACACTCGCACACGCACACGCACACATCCACACACACACACACTCGCACACGTACACACACCAACACACACACACACACACTCTCACGCACGCACACACACACACACACACACACGCGCACACTTGCACCACGCACACACACACACACACACACACGCGCACACTCGCACACGCACACACACACACACACACGCGAACACTCGCACACGCACACACACACACACACGCGTACACTCGCACACGCACACGCACACATCCACACACACACTCGTACACGCACACACACACACACACACACCCACACACACACTCTCAGGCACGCACACCCACACACACACGCGCACACTTGCACACGCACACACCAACACACACCACACACACACCCACACACACGCCCACACTCGCACACGCACACACAGACACACACACACACACGCGCACACACTCGCACACGCACACACACACGTCCACACACACACACGCGCACACACTCGCACACGCACACACACACACACCCACACACAAACACGCATACTCGCACACGCACACACACACCCACACACACACACACACACACGCATGCTTGCACACGCAAAAACACACACCAACGTACACCCACACATGCGAGCACAGTCGCACACGCACACACACACACACGCGCACACTCGCACACGCACACACTCACCCACACACACACACACACGCACACACACAACACACACACACACACACACCACACACACACACACCACACACACACACACACACACACACACACACACACACACACACTCGCACACACGCACACAACACACACACACACACACACACACGCACCCACACACACACACACACACACACACACACACACACACACACACACACACACACACACACACACACACCCACACACACACACACACACACCACACACACACGCGCACACTCGCACACGCACACACACACACACGCGCACACACATCCACACACACACGCGCACACACTCGCACACGCACACACACCCACACACACGCACACGCATACTCGCACAACACACACACACACACCCACACACCCACCCGCACTCACACACACACACACACGCGCACGCTCGCACACACACACACACACACACACACACACACACACACACACACGCGCACACTCGCACACTCGCACACGCACACACACACACACACACACACACACACGTACCTGACACACACACACACACGCGCACACTCGCACACTCGCACACGCACACACACACACACACACACATGTACCTGCACTTTTGGCGCTGCGGCCTCGCGCGCCCATTCGAGGCGTAAGAAGTTGGGAACACACACGCGCGCAATCGCACACACGCGCGCGCGCATACGCACACCCGCACGCACATTTACACACACATACACACACACACGCGAAGGTTTGCCGCTTCACCGCTCAAGCGCAAACTTCCACCACGGGTCGGCCGAATTTCTGGGCAGCGCGCTGACGCAAAGAAAACGAGACCCCGCGCCTGCCCGGAAAGGGGCAGAAGAGGGGCAGAAGACGAGGACCATGACAAAAACGGAACGCGGAAACGTCGGTGTCGATCCTGGGCACCGTCCGTCTTGGTCAGTGTAAATTCGCGCACCATCCTCGCGAGTCCGTCACGGCCAGCACGGACCAGGACCAGGATCGGCGTCGACAACATCCCGCGACAAATTGGTCATGGTCACAGTGCTTCTCCACCTGACGCCCTTGCTTCCAGAGGCACACCGAGGAGCACACCTCTGTGCCATTGGGGAACAGCTGCTGCTCGACGCTGGCCACTCGCTGCTCCAGGCGCGCCTGCGCCGGCGCGAGATGGAAGCACGCGCGCCTGGAGCGAGTGTGAAAAGTGAAGGGCAGCGGGGCGTTAGGCGGGGCATGCGGAATAGAAGCGAGCAGAGAGTAAAGAGAGGGAGGAGCGGAGGGGAGAAACGAGGGGGGGGCAGAGATCAGACAGATGAGGGGAAGACAAGTAGGTAGGATACTACAGTGACGCATTCTGAGCCTGGCCGTGGGGTGGGAGAAAATGAACCGACGCTGCTTGGAGCAGCAGAACTGGGGATTGGATGCTTCGCGAGCGACACGGTCAGGATAGGAGAGCAAAAAGCGTGCTTGCAGTGCAGGAGCAGCAACCAGAGTGGAATGGAGCAGGTGCGGGGGGACCATGCTACATCGTGAAAGTACGAGGTGCTACGCGATGTCATGGCACACACGCGCACAAGATAAACAACGGTGGCAGGGATCCCGAAACATCTGCATCTGATGTTTACGCGTGCTCGCCACTTCCGCTCAACACTAAGAGCGAGCGAGAGAGGGAAGGGAGCCAGAGATGGGAAGAGAGAGGGGGAAGAGGAAGTTGAGGCAGGAAAGGGGGAAGGGGGGTGGGGGTTGAAAATTGATGTCAAGAGCCATGGCAGGGCAGCAAATAAAGATGCAACTCACTGGGAAAAGGGGCGGAAACAAGGCCGTGCAATGGCGCCCAACTTCTTCGACCCTATGGTGCTTTGACCAACAGCCGTGGCAACATCGAGCTGCGCACAACTGTGGCGACGGGAACTTCCAAAAGCACCCAAATACATCCGCATTGACGACATCGAGACTCAAGCCTCCTCCTCCTCCTCTTTCTCCTCCTCCTCCGCTCCTCTTCCTTATCAATAACTTCTACCTGTCGCACCCCGAGGCAAGTTTTCGGACGGGCTGGGCGCTTCGCCAGAGACTTCCCCACCACTTATGACTCTGAAGCTTGAAGCATTGCAGCAGTTTCACAGATTGAGGGGCGGGTCGTTTTAAACATGTGAGCGCGGCGCACATTCGCTTCACACATTTGCATGCGTTTCACAAAATGAAGGCGGGTCGTTTTCAAAATGTGGCTCTCGCCTCAGCGCGGCGCACATTCGTTGTAAACATGTGCAAGACTTTCACGGATTGAGGGCGGCTCCTTTTCAAAATGTGGCTCTCGCCTTAGCGCGGCGCACATTCGTTGCAAGAATTTGCAAGAGTTTCCCGGGTTGAGGGCTGTTCCTTTTCAAAATGTGGCTCTCGACTTAGCGCGGTGCACGTTCGTTGTAACAATTTGCAAGAGCTTCACGGATTAAGGGCGGTTCCTTTTAACATGTGGCTGGCGCGGCCCACATTCGTTGTAACAATTTAGCGCGGCGCACTTTCAATTCAACAATATATACGAGGTTCACGTATTCCCATCATCAACGTGCCCAAACTAATGTTTTGAAAGAACTCCGGATTATGTGGGTGCAGCAGTTATGTTGATCCGCCGTGGAAGTCACAGGAATGGCGTTCTGGCACGATTCAGGGTTGTCAAGACGCAGCAGTCAGGTTGATCCGTGGCGTTGGAGTTCCGAGAACCATGTTTGGGCATGCTTCAGGGTCTTCAAACGGTTGTCTCCCAAAGAGGCAGTTCCTTCAGTGGAAGTAAAACGACGTAGGGGCCTATGAAGAGGGATGATGACTCTTCGGTTGACACTGGTCCTCCTCCTCCTCCTCCTCCTCCTCCTCCTCCTTTCCCACTACCCAGAACATCCCATGGTGTCTCGCCCTGGCTACGGTACGGACTGCTGCCGCAACCGAAGGCGTCCGACCCTGCCAAAAATCCGACAACCCACGGCGCCCTACGGCGCGCCGTGTGCCATGCCGTGGGGGGCCTGCTGGCGTTTCAAAGGAGGGCCCCCGGTCCCCCCTCCTGCTCGCACCAGCCCACGATGAGTCGACCCTCCCCCCGCCCGAGCCAAGCTCCCGAGCCAAAGCCCCCCCTGCCCGCCCAACGCCCACTTCCCCCATCCCCGCCTGCGAGGTGTAGGAATACCTTCCTGTGTGCGGCAGCGCATCCATACTGACATTGTGGTGCGCAGGTGGGCTTGGGGGCATGAACCAGGCGGCGATGGAGTGGCGCCGACGCGTGCCTTCTTTTGCTCGTCCTCCTCCCCCTCATCCCCCTCTACCTCCCGTTTGACCTTCTCCACCTCCTTCTCCTCGTCCTCGTCATCTTCCTCCTCCTTCGTCTCCCCCTTTCTCCCTCATCTGCCTTGGGACTCCTTCCAGGCATAGAAAAAAGGAACCTCGCCTCCACAGCTTTGCGTGTAGTGGCCTTAGCACGGTGGGCGGGTCAGCCCGTGAGCAGCTGGAGATTGCGAGGACGGGCGCTGGGGGGAGTGGAGGAGGGAGGAGGAGGAGGAGGAGGATGAAGAGGAGGAGGAGAAAGAGGAGGAGGAGGAGGAGGAGGAAGAGGAAATGGCGGAGGAGAAGGAGGAGGGGGAGATTCTGCTGACAACCCCGCGGATGGAGCCAATACCCGAGACAGGAGAATAACGAGAGATGCGGGCACACAACGTCTTCAACCACAGGCCGTGTTCAGCATAGGTAGGGTAGTGATCAGCGTGTGGGGCTACAATCGGGTAACTGTTGCTATCCAGACAAGGCGCGCAAGCCAACGCCGCCGTAAGACACATCGTATATTGAGGCGCATGCTCTCAAGCTCCATATGGAAATGCCACGTTGGCAACTTGAGACTTGCGGAATCTCAACAAGTATGATGCATTTTCGGAGGACCTGGTCTGTCCCAACGCGCCGCGATTCGTGTCGAATCCATGTCGAACGCGTCGAACCGTTTCGAACTTATGTCGAATCCGCGTCGGGTCCGCGTCAACCCCAAGTCGGAGTACAATACAAGACCGCCATTTACAGTAATGCAGGTTCGCGTCGTGTTGACCCCAGCGTTGGTTCCTGACACCGCGGGGATCGTTAAATCTTCAACGATCGGCCGTTTCCGGCGTTTCCGAAACGTCCGATCGTTCAAGATCGACCGATTCTGGGTCGCTGGCGGCGTTCCACGTTGAACGACAGCGGCGGGGTCGCCGCCGGTCAACACGACGCGGACCTCCCGTACACGAACGGTCCCCTGAAGATGCAAAATGGCTACTGGGCTGCAATGAGAAGGAGGAAGAGCGGCATAAACATAAACTTTCGGCGCTCCGCGCGGATCTGTTGGATCTGCGCTGGACCCGCCTCCCTGGCGTGCGGAACGCGCCAGGGGCGGCGCCGGAGGCGAAGCCAGGGAGGTCCGGCGCAGATCCAAGAAACCCGCGCGGAGCGCCAGCAATTTATGTATATGCCCGTTTGCGCCCTTCGCAACAGAAGCTGCCGTGAAGAGGGAAATTCCCGAGGGAAACGGGCACCAAAGAGCCGCTCTTTACCCTGACCCGTTTCCTTCTTTTGGGGGGGTCACGTCTGGCCGACCAAATTTTACTGAAGGCCCGCAGCATCGTCAGGAAAGCCCGGAACCGAATCAATAAGCCGAATCGGCGATCGAAATGAGGCGGATCGGCGGGAATAGGCAGCCAAGTCGGGAGGAATCGAACCGGCGGAATTCGGCACAATCCGAACTCGAACCGGATCGGAATCGGGAACCACCGAAGTCGAATCAAATCGGAGAAATCGCAACGACCCCTGCATCGCGCAGGCCTTGCCCGCGGGCCCTGACGGCCCCAGTGCCTCGGAAGGACCCGGGGACGCCTTGGGACGGCGAGCGGCACGGGACACCCCGTCCTTCCGGACCCTCCTGTTTTGCTTCGCCGCGGGAGGGGGGGCCCGGGCGGAGCGAGAGCAGGGCGACGGAGGATCGGGCAGAGCGCGGACACGGGCCATGGAGGAACAGGGGGAGGAGGAGGAACAGGGGGAGGAGGAGTAGAAGGAGGAGGAGGAGGAGGAGGAGGAGGAAGAGAGCGAGGAGGAAGAGGAGGATCAATGATAATGATAATGAAAAGTCGCCATCACGAAATGTTCCAAGAGAGGCTACATCGCAGCCCTGGCTGTCTACTGGGCGTGAATCATGGCCTTCGGCCATTCACCGAGACCGATCCGACGAAGATATCCCCGTCGAGCGGTTGTGACCTGGCGAGGCTGATCGAGACCCTGGACACCTGAAGTAGCGCGCTTCTGCCATAGAAGTCGCAACAATTAGATGTCATGAAAAGCCATGCGATGTGCGACATGTACCCGGCCACCTCCCCCCTTTTTATATGCGCGTGCTGACTGACAGGGCAATGGAAACATAAGCATCCCCAGGAGTGAAAGAGAAACAAGGGGACCGTCGACACACACTGGGGGTGGCGTCGGAGGCAGATCCCCTACAACGGTGGCGCCTCTTACCACTCTCATCTAGAAAGTGGTCTGTCTCGAACACGTTGACAACATTCAGTGAAGGTGGGTGGGGGGGAGGAGGAGGAGGAGGAGGAGGAGGAGGAGGAGGAGGAGGAGGAGGAGGAGGAGGAGGAGAAGGAGGAGGAGGAGGAGGAGGAGGAGGAGGAGGAGGGGCCCCGCCTGCGTAGGATTCCTCGACGTGGGGGGGTTGGCGCCCGCAGCAGCGCTGAAGGCCTCGATGCCCGCGCGGAGGAAGCGCCGCCGAAGAAAAAGCGTCTTTTCAAGCTCCCATGTCCTGCTGCGAATGGTTTTGGGGAGTCGGGCAGAAGCTGCGGCGTGCCCAACCAACTCGTTCGCCACCGTGTTGCCAATCGTGAGAAACAGGGGTATGCCTTGTTCCCGCCGCCTCTGAAGCTGGAAGATGGGAAGCGAACTGAAGAACAACAGTGGGTGACGTGCCACGTTGAGTGCCCTTAAGCTGCCGCCGCATCATGTCCCAGATCCCCTCGTTGCCCCCCGATGGTTTTAGATGCAGTCCTGATCACCAGCCATCAACAACAACAGAGTTATATGTAACATCAATAAGAACACACGTACTAAACTAATGGCCAAGAGGAGCCGGTAGAGTTCACCTCGAGGGACCGTCTGCCAACGTCATGGAATGGGGGCTCAATATGAAGGCCCCAGCTTCGGAGGGGGGGGCGTAGGAGAGCATAGCATTTACTGCGATACCGATACGTCGAAAACGAGGTTTACGAGCATCTGGCCCCCCACTGGCGCTGCCAAACAAAAGGCTACCAGGGGGTGGTCAGAACTGCCGTGACCGAAGAAAGAGCAATGCAAGTGGCCATCGCCGTTCGCGTTCAAGAATGGCCATGCTGGGTCGCCATCAGGGTGAGGGATCGCCGCCCACGCATTGGGGGCCGACCCCCTGAGCCAATCGCGCACCTGGCTCTCGTGCAACGCATGTGCGCGCGGGACCAAATAGTCGGAGTCGACAAAGGCCTTCGCGTCTTTGGTGCACTGGCAAGTCCAAGAGCGATGAAATGGCGTTTCGGCACCTGCGGGGCACCTGTGTCCTTATGCGTCGATATTGGCTTTGGCTTCGCGGTCTCATCAGCGACCCGTTGACGCGGCCAGAACCCTCCCGTGGCAATGTTGGCCATGACCTCTGCGAGCCTGCGGCCCATCTTACGCGAGCGAAGTCCCTATCTGCGTTTGCCCACTCCTCCTGTCACCCCGTCTCCGCACTCGTGGGCAGAACCCTGAGACCAGTACTTATTTGGACAAACATATTGAAAACCATCGGGGATGTCCGCAATATCCTCGTAGCCCGAGAGGTCGGCCTCCGAGAACTCCCACGCGAACTCTGGAGCATCCCAAAAAGTTGGGGGACCTTGGGGCCCCGGCCATGCTCCAGAAGGCACCCGATGATGGCGGCGATGGGCCCCCGAACGGGGCGAGATATCCGGCTGCGAGCCACGCTCCGCAACTGATTCACGATGCGAGGCCATGCGCGGCACGCCATGGGACGGATATCTGGAGCACTGAACCGAACCGAATGCCAGAGGCGCATGGCTTCGCGAGGGGATCTAGCACCAGGATCGCATCCAGGAGCCCTGAGGACTAAGAGAGTCGCGAGGCACCTACCTTTAGCATTCGCACCGAGAGAGGCCCCGAGACGCAGACGAAAAAGCTGACGATCACCCCAAAGCCCCATAGACACGGTGTCCACACGAGCCCTCCGCGCGCGCACCCGCGCTCTCGAGTCGCCCCGTCGCAAAGAACCGCCTGGAAGCCTGAGCGAAACGTCGAATCCTCGCCGCCATCCCACTACCCCTGGCCTCGCGCATATATATATATATATATATATATATATATATATATAAAAAAAAAAAAGCTTCCGAGCGGGTCTGCCGTTGCCGACGTCGACCCCTAAGTGCGGGGCTTGCCGAACTGCTGAGCCACGGGCGCCCGCGCGTCGAAGCTGCCGTGGAACTTGTCCGCCATCGGCAGGCCTCGAGCACATCCGCACACTCTTGGGCGATGCCTTGAGACATGCTTCGCCGAGCTTGTTGCAGGCGTCCTTCAGAACATGGAGAAGCTTTGCCCTGGCGGTTCTCCGAGGGCCCAGGGCCCATTGGGGGGGTCGTCGACCCAAATGCGCATCGACGTGCCCGCGTGGGCCGTCGAGATCTGCCGGGGAATGGACTGCGCCATGCACCGAGCAATGCGAGTCCCTCCGCATGAGCCTTGCGCAGTGCTCTGACAGGGCTGGAAAGCGAAAGAGAGACCTCTCCCTTGGCCACGGGTCCTGGGACAAATCGCCACTCGCCTTGAACGTGGACGTGGGCTTCCGTCTCCGAGGAGAGTCGGTTCTGGCTGCGCCCAGCACAGTCGGGTGCGAACGTTGGTAACAACATTGGATAATGGTGCGTTGTACTTGTACCCGATAGGCTGGTCCTGGATCTTGATGTATTGGATGATCGTGTTGTCGTCCAGGTTCATCGTCGCCAGTCTGACAGCATGGCCCCGCTCGGGGCCATTCTCAGGAGACTGAACGTAGGTTGGAGCTCTTTTATCTACTCGAATGTGGATACTAAGATGTACAGCACTTGCGTGATTTCTCTGCGTCTTATGTAGATCCATTTGATCGATCAACCTTGCGGTCATGATCGCTAACGTCTCGTTGCGCCACTCGGCCTTCTGAGCTCCTTGCCCGCGCCAATCTGGGACATGCTCAGTAGGTTGTGCAGGTTTCCCTGCTACGCTGCATGTGCATCGCCATAGGTTGGTCGGGGCGCGCGCGCAGGTAGTCGCCACTTGCAGACATGATCCGCCGGGCAACGTATTAGCGCGGTCCTACTTGAGGCCGAAAAGGCAGAAACGCATACGCATGACTTCTACATCTAGATCTTCAATAGCGTCTCGTATGGGACCTTGCTTCCA